AAAAAAAAAAAAAAAAAAAAAAAAAAAAGTTTTAATACATGTCCACTCGTAGAAAACCTCACAACATTCTCACATACGAATATCCCAATCAGCTGTAATTGCGAGAAATCGCGTTTAATCGCAATTACTTTACTGTGCATTGTGTCATGCTCCGTTCGAACTGTTACTATTCGCTGTTAGTCTGTTTTACAAAAGAACTTGAAGTGTGCACGATCACCGTTAGACCACTAAAATAATATATTTCTTTTAAGGCAGTCGGCGAGGATGCAGACGCGGCCGATACGAGACGTTTCCATTGTCGTCGGCTACAAAAATTTTTTTGAAAACAAGAATTTCACTCCTCACGGATGCAAATGTCGCGCGTTATCATTTCTACGTGTGTTTGCACTTATATATCGTTTTTATCGAACCTCGTCCAGTAGTTTGATGCTGACGGTTAGAACACAATTACAGGGTTCAAGTCGGTCGATCGAGTTCAAGGTTCAAGTGCAGCCTTTTACTGGTTCAGAATCGCGGACCCAATTTCTCATTGTTAGTAGAAGAATTTTTTATCACGGTTGCGACAATGGAAACGCGTATCACGAGTATCTTTATCTCTTCAAAGGGACATTACAAAAGCTTGGAATTGTAGCTTTAATGGAAAGGAATTTATTTATTTTCATCTCTAGCCGCTCTGTGTTGCTGGTGATTACTGAGTCATTTGGGTGATACGGGATTTTATTTATCTTTACCGTAATGTCCTCTGAGGATTTAATTGTATGTCCAATAGGTTAATTTCTTTTTTTGGTGCTGAAATCCCTGGGTGTCCCTTGCTCCTGATTCGAGATGCTCTCGTACACTTATCGCTCGTGCTGCTTATCGATCACCTTTACACTTTACGAGAAACGGTCGATCGACGGGTTTCTTTGTGAATTCGATTACTTTTGGCACGTTTGCAGAAGAAAATTATGAGAACGTCTCGAGTTTGTTTGCCACTATAGTTGTGTCCTGTTAGTCAATTTCACTTTTTTTATACTGGGACTTTGCGTCGGTCGTGTGGTCTGGAAGTTTGGGAAAATTTCGAATGCCAATTTGAAAATTCACTGGTTGCAGGGAAATTTGAGATTTTTCATTTTTCACGGTAAATTCAAGAAATACTTCCAGGCTATTCGTTGATTTATTATTGTGGAGTGACTCCCCCTCTCACCAAGTCCACTCCATTTCCAAAAAGTGTGCCCCCCGCCCTTCTCCTTCAGGATTTCAAATAACAATAATAATTCGAATAAATGTAAAAAGTTAAAAAAAAAAGAGGATACCCCAATAAGAAAGAGAATAAGCGCGCGATAAGAGGGAACAGGGCAAAACTTCGGGACAAAGGACGTATAACTGGCAAGTAGGAAAATTTGAGCAGAAACGAATGAAGGAAGAGAAACGAGAATGGCGAACGAAAACAAAAAAAAAAGAAATAAAAAAAAAAGCCCGACACATCCAGGAGAGATTGCTAATGAATTTTGTTTTGCATGCGTTTTTTTTATCTAGAGGCTAAAAAGCAGCGGAAGAAGAAGTCGCTACCAGGTGATTAAAATTCAAAATAATACATATCGCTCTCAAGCAAGAACGTCATGTAAAAGTTGATATATTTGGAAAAAGCGAGAATGTACTTAAGGCCAAGAAAAGGGGAAAAAAAAACAAAAGTGGAACATCGTATCGAGCGGCTCATCGAGCTTTTATCTAACTGCTCTGATTATTTCTTTCTTTCGGCATTAACAATGTATTAATTCATTTGTTTTTTTTTTTAAATTCCGTAACTGCTTATTTTATCCTCTCTCTATGTTGTAATCTCTCTCTCTCTCTCTCTCTCTCTCTCTCTCTCTCTCTCTCTCTCTCTCTCTGCATCCATACGTATCTCTATGTATGTATGTGTCTCTCTAACTGCCTACGACCTGACTCAATTATTCATTTTTTTTTCCTCTTCTAACATATAATTTACTAACGTCAGCTAGAACCATTATTCATTTGTTCAAATTACTAATTGACCGATTAATTAGCCAATCGGGGTGTAGTACTCTTTCCTTATCTAGCTAATAGTCTATCTACCTATATCTCTCTCTCTCTCTCTCTCTATCTCTAGTTAAAAATTAAAACCTAAAAGTACTTCCCATTTAAAAGAAAATATGAAAATTATCCGACCTCCATTGGACGTGTAATCCTGACTTCACATCCACGTCCAGGAAGTGTCCAAAGACTGGTCACACCATTTCATTGTATCTCTCGGAGCCAAAGGACGTGCGAGCAGCTGCATGATTTTTTTGTTTTTAATTGTATATGAAAAATTTGTTAACGAAAAAAAAAAGTGCAGCTGCTCGCTCGTTTGCTTCGGCAATTTTCTTTTTATTTTCCTTGCCCCCGTACGAATCTTTGGGTTTCTCGCTTCGATTACTTATTGTGTGTTGCGTAAGTTGATCCTTTCGTGTTTCTCCTCGGTGTTTTTCTTATCGATGGTGGTTTATGATCTGTTTTATTTTTTTTTTTGCTTTCTTTTTTCCTTTACAGCTAGTCTGATGCATCCTGTCTGTATAAATAATTACGTTATATCAAAGCTCACGGATTGCAGGACTCGTCTTTTTTTTTTCCTGACGTAATCCACTATTTGTACTCGTAAAACGTATGGAGATGCATATATGTCTATATTACTTGTGTATGGGAGAATCTTTAGATCGATTAATTAATCCAACTCTTTTTTTCCAACTAATTCTTGTTTGATCTTTTTTTTTTTTTTCTTTTCCACTGTCTTGTCTTTGTCCGTTCGCTTAATTATTATTATTGCTGATAGTCGTATCTTTCCGTTTACCTCCTGCTGAGTAATACACTAGTTTTTTTTTTTATTCTTTTCCTATTAATCCAACATCTTTCAGGATTTAATGCACACGTTGCCGATACACACACGTCAATTGCTTCTCGTTTATGCGCATTGCTAATACTTTCTCACATGTTTTTTTTTACATGGGCCATTGGCAATCGTGATTCTTGGAATTCGTGATATTGGGATTGCTCGAGTGAAATTCAATAACCATCACTAATCTTTTTCTTTTTCCGAGAAATTAAAAAATTGCTAAAAAAATATATGTCGATTTTAAATCACGTTTTCATCGATCTCCATTGCCACAAATCGATACAATAACTTTCGTCACTCGCACCTCTTCGTTGGTTACCATTAACTTTCGTTCGCAAAGAAAGGACCTCGACCTTTGGGCTGACCCTCGTACTCGACAAAGGATCATTTGCGATGTAAAGACAAAAGATTTTAAAAAATATTTCCACTCGATCGAACCAATCGGTACGTCACTCGTCCGGGTCCTCTCCGAGCGTAAGGATCTTTCATTGCATCGTTAAAAGAGTCACGCTTTCGAGCCGCATTCTGATCTCGACCTTACTTGAAAAATCCGTCCAACAAAAAAGGTGAGGAGGCTGGCGAGATAACCGGAAACAGTCACGCGGCCGGCGGAAAGCACGAAGGCGGCGAGAACCATCACGCCCCACCGTCGGCGAGCTCCTCCGAGAACAAGAAGGAGAAGAGCGTCCTCCAGGCGAAACTAACGAAACTGGCCATACAGATCGGTTACGCGGGTTCGATGATCGCCGTGCTGACGGTCGTCATTCTAGTCATACAATTCTGCGTGAAGACATTCTACATCGACGGGAAAGTGTGGAAGAACACCTACGCCGGCGCCCTGGTGCGACATCTGATCATCGGTGTGACCGTCCTCGTGGTAGCTGTGCCCGAAGGTCTTCCACTTGCCGTAACTCTGTCGCTCGCTTATTCCGTCAAGGTTGGTATCACTGATAAATAACAATTACATCTCGTGGAAAATGTGTACCGGTTCCACGATTGATTCTTATCTCTCTTTTGTCTTGCAGAAAATGATGAAAGACAACAATCTTGTGCGTCACTTGGATGCCTGCGAGACAATGGGCAACGCCACTGCCATCTGTTCGGACAAGACGGGAACTCTTACGACCAATCGTATGACAGTGGTACAGTCGTACATATGCGAGAAGATGTGCAAGACGATTCCGAGTTTCTCGGACATACCGAATCACGTTGGCAACCTGTTGATACAGTCGATCTCGATAAACTCCTCGTACACGTCCAAAATAATACCCTCGCAAGACCCTACCGAACTGCCGATGCAGGTCGGCAACAAAACCGAATGTGCCTTACTTGGATTTGTAGCGGCCCTGGGCAAGAGTTTTCAAACGATAAGGGACGATCAGCCCGAGGAGACGTTCACGCGTGTCTACACGTTCAACAGTGTTAGGAAGAGCATGTCCACGGTGGTACCTAGGCAGGGCGGTGGCTATAGACTCTTCACCAAGGGCGCTTCCGAAATCATCATGAAGAAGTACGTAATATTTTGCGATCTTAGGCCACCACAGGTGACGTCCCGGCGCTTTGTAATCTCTTGGATAAATGATCTCTTTCATTTGTTATTCTGTTTCGTCTCATCAGATGTGCCTTTATCTATGGTCGCGATGGACACCTGGAGAAATTCACCAGGGAGATGCAGGACCGTCTTGTTAAGAACGTGATTGAACCGATGGCGTGCGACGGGCTGCGTACCATCTCGGTGGCCTATCGGGACTTCGTTCCGGGCAAGGCTGAGATCAACCAGGTCCACATTGAAAACGAACCTAACTGGGACGACGAGGAGAACATCGTGAACAATTTGACCTGCCTGTGCATTGTCGGTATTGAGGATCCAGTGCGTCCTGAGGTGCCCGACGCGATAAGAAGATGTCAGAAGGCCGGTATCACGGTCAGAATGGTGACCGGTGACAACATCAACACAGCCAGGTCGATCGCTCTGAAGTGCGGCATCCTTAAGCCCAATGAAGACTTCCTGATTCTCGAGGGTAAAGAATTCAACAGGCGGATCAGAGACAGCAACGGTGAAGTTCAGCAGCATCTCTTGGACAAAGTCTGGCCCAAGCTCAGGGTGCTGGCTAGGTCGTCGCCCACCGACAAGTATACCCTTGTCAAGGGTATCATAGACAGCAAAGCCAGTGTGGCACGCGAGGTCGTTGCCGTAACTGGTGACGGTACCAACGACGGTCCCGCCCTGAAGAAGGCTGACGTTGGGTTCGCTATGGGCATTGCTGGTACCGACGTCGCCAAGGAAGCCTCCGACATCATCCTCACCGACGACAACTTCAGCTCGATCGTCAAGGCCGTGATGTGGGGTAGAAACGTTTACGACAGTATAGCCAAGTTCTTGCAGTTCCAGCTTACGGTCAACGTCGTCGCCGTTATAGTCGCGTTCATCGGTGCCTGCGCCGTCCAGGATTCGCCACTCAAGGCGGTGCAAATGCTCTGGGTTAATCTTATCATGGACACGTTAGCTTCTCTTGCACTCGCCACGGAAATGCCGACGCCGGATCTGCTTCTACGTAAACCCTACGGTCGCACGAAGCCCCTAATCTCCAGGACGATGATGAAGAACATCCTCGGTCAGGCTATTTATCAGTTGACCGTTATTTTTGCTCTTCTGTTCGTCGGTGAGTATCCCTAACTTCATTTTCTGTAGAACCTATGAATCGCACCAGGACCACTTCTTGGCACAGGTTCTCGGGTTCTCTTTGGCCTTGCGCACATATAAATCTTTGGATTTTTGTTTTTGTTCTCGCTTAAAAAAAGGTGATAAGATGCTGGACATTGATACCGGAAGAGGCGTGGCGGAAGCCGGTGGCGGGCCCACTGAACACTTCACCATCATCTTCAACACGTTCGTCATGATGACACTGTTCAACGAATTTAACGCCAGGAAAATCCATGGTCAACGCAATGTCTTCCAGGGTATCTTCACCAACCCCATCTTCTACTCTATTTGGATTGGCACGTGTCTCTCGCAAGTGAGTATCCATGTTACTAATTTTCTCTTTTCAACAGATTAACAATCGGAGAATGCCTCGTGGCTCAGGAACGATCGTAATCGTTACTTTATGTTCGCTCGGATTTTTTCGTGATTCAATGTAAAAATGTATAATTGATATAAATTATCGTGCTGTATCAAAGATATTTTTTTACCGTTTCAGGTGGTCATCATTCAGTACGGTAAGATGGCGTTCAGCACAAAGGCGCTCACTCTAGAACAGTGGATGTGGTGCCTGTTCTTCGGGATCGGCACGCTTCTCTGGGGCCAATTAGTCACGACCGTTCCGACACGCAAGCTTCCCAAGATATTTTCGTAAGTCCAATCACAATATTAGTGTCTATTGAAAAAAAGAATTGAGATACATAACGCAATGCGATCGGTAAGCGACTGTACCGAGCAACGGCACGTATATATATACAATATAAACAAAAGTTCTTAAAAAGGGTTCATTAGGTTCCCTAATCGTCCTAGGGAATTTCATGGCGATGTCTCACACGGCGTACCCATGAAGTTCCCTAGGCAGGCGCAAGAAAAATCTGTATATATATAATATAATAACTATAACACGTACACCAAAGTTCGAAAGCAAGGGCAACCAGCATGGTGCCCCAAGTCCGTTAAGAAATTTGGTTTCACCGTTTTTTATTTCTATTTATTGGATCGTTAGTGTCAAGTTACGAGAATTAGAAAATTATTTGATTAGCTTTTATTACCCCTTAGTACATGGTAGTGGCCTTTGCATGCTAGACCTCTCTTTATTACTCACCCAAAACGCTCAAAAGAATTAAGCCCTGTCCGCCAGACCCATGCTAACCCTAAAGCCGGTTGTCACGGATTTTCGAGGTTTTCTTTTTTTAATTTTTTTTTTTGTATTTCAACATTACCTAAAATCGACCTTTTTCATTTCGCCGGAATTCCGGCCGTAAACCGGTTCACGTGCGATTAATTCATTTTTCGTTCCTTTATTCCTGTTTAACAAAATGCTGAACTAGCCTTGAGTATATAAACGGACTTTGCGATATAACTTGCGGGTTGATTGCGAATTAAACGAGAAAAAATTGACGCGGCCAAAGTCAGTTACATTGATACAAGAAAATTACGGGGACAGTGCGAGCAGCATTGATTATTATATATATATATATATATAAAAAAAAAAAAAAAAAAAAAAAAAAAAAAAAAAAAAAAAAAAAAAAAAAAAAA